AAATTGACTAAAAAACGTAGTCCATATCTTGTCCGACAAATTTTCAGGCGCTTTTTTCCAGTCCGACAACCGAAACATGTCGCTCATCGCAGGTTAGGTTTTCCGATTACAAAAGTGATAAATTTTATATTTTTGGCTTTAGAATAAAATAATAATTAAAAAACAATACTTGTCCGACAAAAAAACGACGAAAATTAATAAAATCTAATAAAAAACATTTTTTCAATTTTTAAATGTAGTAGCCATAGACCACCTAGACTGGCCTATAGAGCGACTTTGGTGAAAACATTTCGGAGCCTGATTTGGAGCCCAGCGTTCAGTCGTGTCCTAGCATTTGACGTGTACGCATCGCTGTGATTTCGATAATTAGACGTTTTATCATGGGCATGAATGATTTCAACCCTTCCTTCTTCAGAAAAGGTAAAAAAAAGCCTTTTGAGATTTTAGAGAAGAATGTGGCTTTCCAAGAGGCTTTCTTAAACTTAATTGAAACTTCACCATCTCAAACTGACATAGAGAACAACATTTTTAACGAATGGAGGAGTTCACTTGTATCGAAATGTTCGAAAGAAGTTATAAAATCAATAGTTCTTCGGAGGAAGTTCTTAAGAAGAAAATTAAATCTTTCGACCCATCCAGTTTACCTCCTAGCAGTGAAGAGCTTTTGCAGCACCTCAAAAGAACGACGTATACTCGTATTAGCAGCATTTGGTGTAATGACCACCTAAGAACGCCAACCGAAAAAAACCCAGAAGAATGTGGCTGGATAATAATAGATGACGACTATAACTTTTATTGGTTCGACGGTCCTGAAAGTCCAAGGCTCCAAGACATATCTATAGGTATGCTATAAAAATTTTATAAACTATCCCAAATTTTCCTTTGTACCCCGCGTAAAAGTGGGATTTTCTTTCTACATTTTTCGTGGGGTATAAAGAAATAGTATATTCTTACGCTAAGTTGCGTACCGTATTTTTCGTTAGAAGTGAAAATAAATTACTTTCCGCACGTGCGATGAAAGATCATATACAGATTATGGGGAGGAAAAAAACCTCCAATATTATTATAATCCTCGGTTGCGTCTTAGATAACAACTGCGTATCCTTTTTTTCCTCCCTAGGTTCGTAATATAGTTTGATGAATTAAATTTCGCAATTTTATACAATCTTTTTTAACATTATTTCAGATCAAGATAATCCAAGTGATGCATCTGACGGTGACGACGAAGATAGCACGAGTTAATCCGATGATGATTTGAGTGGAGACGATTCTGATTAGTCATATAATGTTTTACTTATTTATTTTTTCATTTGAAATGTTTTATTTTTTAACTTTTTCTTATATTTCTTAAAATAATTTAATTTTTTATATATTTCATTTTCAATTATTTTTTATGATGACATTATTAATAAAAAAAATACAAGTCGCAATTCATTGTCATTACATTTAAAAGTAATTATATGTAACAATAATCGTTTTATTAAGTTTATGAAATTAATCGTTTCTTTTTGTCGGACTAGCAATATGATCCACTATTTTTGTTGGACAATGTCATATTTTGATAAAGAAAGTACTATTTTAGCACTTGGTATTTGTGTCCGAAATTTTGTAATCGGAAAACCTAACCTGCGATGAGCGACATGTTTTGGTTGTCGGACTGGAAAAAAGCGCCTGAAAATTTGTCGGACAAGGTATGGCCTATGTTTTTTAGTCAATTTTTAGTAAGTTAAAATGAAAATTGGGTGTTTTGTAATCGGAAAACCATACCGCGCTAGAGCGACATATTGGAGATGTCGGACTCGACAATTGCGCCCTCTACTTTGTCGGACAACACAATTTGCTTCTTATTTAACACATTTTCTTTTAATTCAAATAAAAAATTTGAGTGTTGTAATCACAAAAGAGAACCCGCCCAGAACGACAGGTTTAAGTACTCGCAGTGCGGAAAAGCGCCCTTCCCATATTCTAAAAATTTTACAACGTGGTAGACTCGTTAAAACGAAGCGATCCAGACCATTTTGGTGACTTTTGTAATCAGTTCGAAAAAAGGTCGCTGGCTTGGGGACTATATATTTTGGCTATTCTGTAACTCAGAAACGAGTTCTTAAAAAAATGTTCCTAACGTTCAATAATCGATCACTCAAACGCTTCGCGTCTCGGGCTCTCCACGCCCTTCTTGCTTACAGCCATTTCCTCGCAGCTAGGAGCTTATTAGGTTTAGAGTCTAAACTGCGAAACTAAAAATTTAACTTAATCCTTATCGGAGATTGTAAGTCGAGAGGGATTAACCAGCATGTTTGTTACAAGATTAAGTGGGAGTCGCGTTATGCTCCGGGAAAGTACATATAAACTCTTATTTATCGTCTACCTCGCAGGAAATTTCAATGAATAATAAAACACCGCATATTTGGAGAAGTTGAGGGAATTTCGCCACACGAAACCGTTAAATCCTGCTACCTTCCTAGAGACGGTAACAGAAGGCGGATATTAGTCTCGTTTGCAGAAAGTTCAACAATTGCTTTTTGCTATTTTATAATCATGTCTGTTTGTTAAAACATTTCAAATTTTCGCTCAACTTTCTAAACCCATGTTCTAAAAGACCCAAACTACCCTCCAGAGAAACAAAAGGTGCGGTTCGAGAAATAACGTTTTCGATTACGTTTCGAAAATTTCCGCTTTACGAAATACGTCCTAGTTTAGAATTTCGGGAAAAATCACTTCTCGGACAAATGCAAAATAAAATTACAGTATCACATCAGCCTACATGTCCATCAACCGTTCCAGGCAACTACAATCCAAAGATCGGTAAAATTCAATAAGGCCAATTGTGCAAACCTAAAGCGGACATCCTTAAAGGATCTCTGCGGGCCCATCAAGTAATGGGATCGGACGTCGACCCTGATATATTGCAGTTCCGTAACCAGGAACGCAACTTGGCCAGTACTTGTGGTACGCTCCAAATTTATTGCTATATGCATTGTATAAAGCCTTTGCAGATCATAAATTGTGCATTAACTTATTTTTAATAATATGTCTATCAACAAATCACAAACTTTTGCAATTCAAAACTTTGTTAAAAATTTTCACAAACTTTTGCGAACACATTGCTATTCTGGCGTCTCATCTACACAGGCACTGTCCAATCATGAGATGAAGATCCTAAGGGATATAGCAAGCTCCCATAAGCTTTTCAAATTCATAAGTACTCATAGGAGGTTTACACAAGCTTTAAGAAGCTCCCAACATTTTAAGTACCCCAAAAATAGTGCTAGGCAAGGTAGAGCCTCAAAAAACATTTATGCAGACATTACTCAAACAATTAGTGCAACTAGGCTCAGTTGCAAGCCTCCAAAAAATGAGCCACCCCAACGGTGTACAGGAGTGGAAAAAGGTAAAATAAAACTTCTTTGCCCACATTTCCAGGAACTTATCTCGCTTCCGATTTAGGACAATAGGCCAACATGAGTCGACACCTCAAGCGTCCGTTGAGATTGGCATGATCAGAGAGGTGTCCGAATATCCCGTTTGCCTATTTGCCCAGCACCCAGATAATAAAAGAGCTCGGTAAAAATGCCGATTCTCCCGATATTATAAACTTGCATAGGAGTAGATAGATTGACATGAATATTTTTTCTTATTTAATACCTACTGACTTACCACAAAAGTGTGAAGAAACATTTTTGGAACCGCTGACTGTATATCTACTAATTTACCACAATAATGCGAAGAAACATTTTTGGAACCACTGATTCCATCGATAGCTGGGCTGGCTTTATTTACAAGTGTCTAGTTTACACAAATCTTCATTTCATCAGAAGTTTTATACAATATTATATTATATCGAAGGGTCATTTTAGTATGTTTATTCCCACCTATTAAAAACACGTGCACCCCAAGCAAGTTGTGAAAATGTAATCAATTATTTGTTGTAGTATACAAAATAATGTAATAAACATTTCATTGGACGTACAGTAATGTCCGCTTTTTATTTGTGAACCTCTTTATTTTTGGGCAAAACAGATACAAACGTATGCTTTGTAAATAGAATACTTTAAATTGTAAAAAATATTCTTTCCTGAACATCATTAGAAACTTTTGAAGATGTAAATAGGTGGCAAAAAATATTATTTTTTCTACGATTAATATACAGAGATTTAAAACTTTCCACACATCCCTCCAATAATTTTTTAATTATTGCAACAATCTACTTGTGTTGGCAGATATTTTCAGGACTTCTGAAATCCAATACCTTTGCAATACAAAATGTTTCCAAAATTGAAATCTAAAAATTTCGCATTTGTCAACAAATCTCAAAAACTGGCAGTAGTTTCTCTTAGTAGTGACCTATTACTGAAACATTCGGAAGTTGCAATCATTTCCACATCGAATTCGATCTGTTTATCAATCTTTTAATTAACTAAAATTTAACTCCAATTTCTCTGTTTACTACAAAACAAAAAACAAAAAAAAATCCTACTGGCGCACTTTCCACAGCCATAACTATTGACCTCTTTTTATGTAGTATGTAAATCAGGAACGACTCCAGAGGTTCCCAGTAAGTTTTAACAATTTTGATTATTATAAATTTTAAGCACATTTTGCAGTTGTAACGGTTTAGATAAGAACATTAATGGATCTACTTACCAATAAAAACTCTTCTTCAATTTTGTAAACACTTTACTCATGGATATGTGAATACTTACGTAAAATATTACCTAGTAAGCCGACTTTAATGTTAACACATACAAAAGGTGATGCCTATTTCGTCTAATTATTGAAATTTTTTAGAGAAAAGTTAATTTGTCCTTGATAATTGAATAAATGTAATAAATATACTCCTAAACTAAACCCTTTGGCCTAAAGAGAAACTGGCAACTGATAATACGTCCCTTTCCTGAGTTATGTAATTACACTTCTGACTCTTCCCTAATTCAGAGCAGTTTAAGTACAGAATTCCAGCTTGAGGGAGTGCTGGTTACACTGAAAAAAATACTTGGGGCATAATAATTTATTTAAATGTAAATTTACAATCCCAAATTAACATGTAGTGTGTGAGTTGAAACAATAATTGAACGTTCAAGAGGGTCCATTAACAGCGCTATAACGTTTAAGTAAACTCAGACAACGTTCAACAAACACAGTGAGTGGAGTGCTTTTCGTCCAGCGATCGTCCTAGCGGCACCGGAGTCTTAAGGAACACAACTAATTATCCTTTGGTTTAGTGCAGTCACGGATTATCTTTATATACACTATACAAAAATCCCTTTCACAATTGTATACGACGAAACACTTTCTATACAGTCCGTTATATAAATATGTACATGTCACTTTGCAGTTAGAGTTTGTTTTCAGACCTACCCTGGGCATCCGTTTGGGTCACGACCGCTTTATTACGTTACTGCGAACTTTAGAGTTGCCACTAAACATACGCTGAGGGCGGCAGGGGTAAAATTGGGCGCCGATGAGGACTTGACCCTTTGTCCGTCGTCGGCCATCACGCTGCTGGCGATCACCACCGGCTGGCCCGCGGCGGACACGCTGGAGACTTCCGGGGGTACGCAGTTGGGCGCCTGGGGGGCGGTGTAGTTGTCCAGGCCCTGGCATCGCAGTCGGTGCTCTCCCAAACAGGCGCTGTAGGCGATAGCGTGCGGGATGTAGCTCTGATCGAAGGTTCCTAGAAGGAGATTTACTTAGACACAGTGGAACTGAATTTGGGAATATAAAAAGTCTTCTGAAATTACCCGCAATACTTTACTAAAAATAATAGGAAAAGAGTATGTGAACATAAGTCTAGAGCTATGTCTGCTAAGGCAATTAGGGCTCATTAATGGTGAGCCCTCAAAGTTTTTTTTCCACAAATATTTTATCTATAGCCACTAACATTATACATATAAATAAACAATAGACAAAAGGACAGTAAATATCTCATTAGGCATATAACAATGTCCTATTGTTATTGACAGAATTAAAGAAAATTAACAAGAGTTCAGGGTACAAATTTACTGCGATACCAAGACAATTTTAATAATAAATAATTATAATATAGGCATTGGTTTAATTTTGTCTGTGAATTGGTATGGTACGCTTGTTTTCCCTAACAATTTAGTTTGGCATTCAAAATTTTTTTTTATATTATGTGTGAAGCATATACAGGATGGGCCAAAAGTTCCGGAATGGCAGGATATCTCAGAATATTCAAGAGACAGGGTAAAAGTAAAGCACTAGGGGTTTAAGATTTTTCCCTGATTATTCGATGGTGACCTTGAATTTGACCTGGACCATGACCTTCAAGTTCATATTAAGATGATGAGAATTTTTTTAAATGGACTTCGTAATTTTGACCCCGGAAATGGAAAGAGCGAAAAATTTTACGTTCGGATATGACCTTGAAATTATCATGAAGGTCAAGATCAAGGTCAAATCCCAAAGTGGCGCAACTGGCAGAATAATCCGCCAGGAAAAATTTTCTCCATCATAGTTCTAGAATTCTTGATGGACACTAAACTGGTAAATTTGACCTCCGCTCTGACCTCAAATTCCTTATCCGGTCATTTCAAGGTCAAATTGGTTATTCTGTTACTCTCGATGACTACCATTGGCCACCCAAGACGGTGATCACTGTTGATCTTCAATGACCGCCTTTTACCTTTAATGACCACTAATGACCAATAGTGATCAACAATTGCATTTATTGACCTCTAATAACTGACGGTGAACCAAGAACGTACCTATGTTACTTTCAGTGACCATTATTGACCAATAATGACCTTCCATTGCATTATCTTTGATATTTGACCTTCATCTTGACCTTCATGGTCAATTTAAAGTTATATCGAACTTAAAATTTTCCGTTTTTTCCATTTCCAGAGTCAAAATTATGGGGTCCCACTTAAAAAAATTCTCGCGACCCTGGTATGACCTTGAAGGTCACGGTTCAGGTCAAATTTAAGGTCACCATCGGATAGCCAGAGAAAAATCCTAAACCTCCAGTGCTTTACTTTTACACTACCTCATGAATATTCCCAGATATCCTGCCATTCCGGTACTTTTGGCCCAAGTTGTTTTCATTAACCTTTAGTTTTATTTTTTTATATTTTAGTCGTAACTAGTATTAAACATCTGTTTATAAATGCAAATATAACTTTGGCTTACTGTGAATTAACCTAAAAACTATACATAAAAGTCCTATTAGCTTGGATATTATATGTTGTATAATCCTAAATTTTAGCCAGAGGCGCACCAAATGAGGGGCTAACTTTTGTTCTAACTTTTCTCTATAAAGAATTTTCCATGTTTGACCTAAAGATTAGAAATTTTTGATATTACAGTAACTAGGTGCTCTTGTATTATTTGTGCACGTTACATCGTTTGGTATTGAAAATTATGTTACAAATATAACTAGTAAAACAAAAATACTTACAGGAAGACAATGTTCAATCAATATAGAAACTAAATTATATTGCACCTTCTCCGCTTAAAAAAAATAACCAATTGTATTTATAAATTATTAGATTTACTAGCTTAAATTATTATTTTAAGGTTCACGTGATATTTGTTGCACGTAACGTGAGATGTGTGTTGCACATCACGTGCGATTTATGTGATGTGTGGTCCACGTGACGTGGCATACATCTCACTTGACGTGTAATCGCACGTGCGATTTATGTGATGTGTGGTCCACGTGACGTGGCATGCATCTCACGTTACGTGTAATCGCACGCCATGAGCGGGTCGGAATAGTATTTTCTTGAAAAATAAAGAGATTATCAATTATTTTGCATGTAAACGGTGTGGACTACATGTTTACACATTCCGCTCTACATATTTTCGAAAGCAGCATATTCAAAACATTATCTTTTCACTGGAAAATCTAAAATCTATAATAATGTTTACATAAACTGTTTCCTTATTTTTGCTGGTAAAATAGAGCGGGTAAATATCGAGACACCCCTAATACTAAACAATACCTGTGAAGAGTGTGGTGGCTAGCGGTCCCAAGGCATAAACAGGGACGTCTTCTCCTCCGTGGGTCGCCCACTGCCTAGGGACAGCCGAAGCGTGTACTTGATTTCTATCTTCTGCAGCGGACGTGGTATTCATGGGTATGATTCGAGGAGTAGCAAATCCTGGACCATTTCCGTAGAGAATCGTCGTATACGGTTGACCATCTACATCGGAGACTTTACTGTCCGGACCTGGAACCAAGAGATAAGAGTTCCTCAGTTACGTACGGTTTAATAGAAGTTGTACGTAGAATAACAATAGTTCGATTAGATATACTGTTGATTTTCTAAATATCTAGTACGTGTATATCCCTGTGTCAAAATAGTAGTTAGTTGAGTCAAATATAGCTCTAGCGGCTAAAGTAATCGATTTAACGTAGAGGTAAGTTTAGTCAAATCAGCTTATTTTGACTACAGGAAACTGTTGTAGCTCTATACAGATGGAATCTTGGAACACCCTGTATAAATCCACCATTTTTACTATATCTTAATATGATAAAACTGTTTTTTGTATTCTCTGCATACAAATTGTAAAGTACCGTTCATTTCGCCTAGTGTTCGGATAGTTCAGCTTGCGCGCGCGCACTTTCAACGATCTATTTGCTTTATTTTATTAAGCAACAACCAATAAGGGACCTCTACACAAAAGTTAGTGATAGTGATTATGATCAGACAATAGTAATTAGTAATTTTACTGATGTTACCGGTCTGGTCTTTTATCGATGATGCATTTAATATATTACTGATATTACTATTTATGTTGTTTCAGTTGATTACTGATTTTATGTCGCCTTACTGTTTATAATACTACGTTCCTCCAGTTAGCCAAGACGTACCCTTATTAAAAAAAAATTGAAAAATTTACGTAGGTGGTTTACCTACGAGGACATAATTTAAATCATATGTTGCTTATTAAAAGTTGCTCCTTTTCGTGCCTTCTATCACTTATTTCAACAACACCCTGTATTTAGAATTTTTGGAACCTTCTAAAACGGTACGACTATGGAATCGCATTCCCCTTTTACCCGTCGTCGCACGGATCTGCGTTTAAAAATGAGCCGCCACTGCTTACTATTTTGGCACTGGAGTAAACACTAAGAAAAACAAGTTTTCAAAACTGGAATATACATAAAATAGTTAACTTATCGTTTGGGATATCGTGTCAATATGTCGCCGGATTCGACCTACTGGCCCCGTAAGCTACCGAAAGGAATTTATAGTTTCATAAAGTAATCCGCACAAGAAAAATGTCTATTCCGGAACACCTAGTAGCATAAACCTCCACTTCCGGCCGATATTCGAGGCGCCTCCGCGTCGTAATTTGGAGCCCTTCCAAAAATGCAAGCTCGACAACAAACCGTTTCAGTGCACGCCCCGTTATCCATCATTCGACAAAAAGGGCCCTAATACGTCGCAGAGTTGCGGAGGGAATTCCATTTTTTTGTCTGTCTCGTGTTTTGTTCTCGGATTGTGGAGAGGTGTCAGGACGCGAGACGTAATATTTACACACTTGTGTCAATATTTCACGAGATGAAATGAGGGTAAGTGAAAAGTGACCGAAATAAAGGCCCCTATTCTATACTTTGTGTGTGTGTGTGTGTGTCCAACAGCCTGCCATAAGTTTGTGTATATAAAACGTGTTGACAGAGAAAACGGTTATAATATTGAATTGAAAAATAAACTGAAATTTCAAACAAATACTTTGTGATGCCTTCCTTGTAAATGAAATTAATAAATATTTATTTATTAAAGAGCAATATATTTAAAACACAAAACTTTTAAAAAAAACAGTGACGGAGGTATTAACAATATGACTAGATTAATGTGAATTATTTTTCTACCTCAACTATATTTGCCGTTTTTATTAAATTTGTTTTTTAAAAATGTATATTTTATTATTAGCTATTGCCTGAAGTTATTTATTTTTGAATTTTTTTTCTTTTTTACTTTATTTTTTGGATATTTTGTCATATTTAAAGAAAGTTTTTTCAAAAGATGTTCACTGTTTTTATGAGTCAGAATATCCAAATAAAGGTTTAATAATTTCCAATTTATTAAAAGGCGAATTAATAGAATTAACTTGGTATTGGTCTTAAAGGAATATCACGTTTATAAATTTTTGGTAAACCATAAATGTGTGGTGGTTTACTATAATGCGGATTTAAAATTTTTCTCCCATTATCTGAAAATTTTTGTTTATACAGGATGTTACAAGTTTGACTGCCTTCATTTTAGCAGGCGATAGACATGTGTTCTAAACTCAACCATTTCCAAGAAAAACATTATCAAAATCTCCAACTTGGTGTACAAACGTTCGATTAATTAAGGAATATTGACATAATTGCGTGCATAGAATACCATAAAATACAATGTTTATCACTTTTTTTAATTTCTTTATGCTTAATTCTAAAAAATTTCATGGTAAAATTGATATCATTCACCTAGTATGGAAAAAACAAGCAATTTTTTGTAGCCTGCTTCGATGACAATTTTTTTGCCCGCGTAGAGGGCGCAGCAAATTACATAAGATATTTTAAAAATCTGTTTACACTAGGTGAGTGATATCAATTTTGCCATGAAATTTAATTAAAACAAGCTTTCTCTATCTCTTAAAATAAATATGTTAGACGACCCTAAACTATCGGTACTTATCCGGTTTTTTTTATGATTATTACAAAGTTGGCCATGGATCTCAAATTTGCTTTTACGAGTATAAAGTCCTCAAAAAATGCAACAAACAACAAAGATTTTTGACGTACGTCGTATATTAAGCGAGATCCATAGAAGTGGCCCTCTTATAGTATAGGACAGCCTATATACAGGGTCGGAAAGTCCCCATGGTTCATCGGCCGTTACGTGAGAGCGATAAAGTAAGTCATAGAAATCCATGCGATAGAGAAGGATGGCTATAATGAAGGCTTCTCATAGTCACCGCCCGTTTCGCCCTTCCACAAATAAGATCCACTTCCACTTGTAATTCAGCGACCGGTGGTCATCTTTGTTTTCTTTAATAGATGTCACTACTTATACAATTTCGACTTCGGTATTCCGATATGTTAATACAATCCGTTAACAGAGGGCAGCACAACGCGTAACAAAGAAAACTTTTTACAGTAGCTAGTAGATACCTCTGTTTGTAAATCTAGTGACCTTGTTTCCACTACTGAGAAGTTATTCAAATGGAGTATAGTGCTCAGCTCCATTTAAAGTTCATTTAGTTGTTATTTAAGTATACTTTTTAAAATGACTTAAAAATAAAGCAAAATTTCCTATTTCCCCAATTCCAAAAAAATCTGTAGATCTGGCATCACTCTTTCTAGGGCTGCGCTTCTCCTTAGACAAATGGTCCTGCCCTCTGTTAACGGATTGTATTAACATATCGCAATACGAAGTGGGAATTGTATAAGTAGTGACATCTATTACAGAAAAGGCAAACGACGAAAACAAAGATGACCACCGGTCGCTGAATTACAAGTGGAAGTGGATCTTATTTGTGGAAGGGCGAAACGGGCGGTGACTATGAGACGTCTTCATTATAGCCATCCTTCTCTATCGCACGGATTTCTATGACTTACTTTATTGCTCTCACGTAACGGCCAATGAACCATGGCGACTTTCCGACCCTGTATAGCGTTATAGTTGCAGAAAGAGAATATAATATTGTGAAAAAAATAGAACGAGGTCATAGGGACTATTTATTAATAGATATGGATTATTTATTAATTCCATAAACAAAGAGACCACTTGAAAAAGCACTCCGCGAAATGCATAAATACTTAAAAGGTTCAATTGTTTTGTAAGAAAATTGCAATCTTACTTCTTATCACTTAGATAACAGATATACTTATGATTTTTGTAATTTAGAAACTGTTCAACAAATATGGTAGGTTAATACAAATATAACGTAAAAAATAACATATAACTATACATTTTTTATAGAGAATTTTATGCTGTACCACTTTGGTCCCTTGCAAGTTTGTGAAATTTCTTATACTTTTTTGTAACTGTCCGACCATTTCCTGAATTTTCCCGGTCCGCTCCCGTACAGGACAATTTTTTTTAATACAATTTTGACTAGGATGGTTGGACTATTAGATAATCTGTAACATTTATATTAAAATGTTGGTTACCATAGCAATTTAACGAAAATAGATGTGTACACATATACATTTATATGTATGTATTAAGACATTTTATATTCGTTCGTTTTCTTCAATAAGGTACTTACTACATTTAAAATAATTCATGTAACTTACAAAAGGGTTGTAGATAAAAGTAGGTAATTTGTGCAACTAAAATATTAGTTAAAACCGTTATATTAGGAAATTTTGCGTACTAGAGATATAAAAACCAACATCGTGTTGGTCTGACGATATTTGCCAAAATAGTTTTCTTAATTTATGAACCAGGAATTAATGGAATCATGAATCATAACAAATAATTGAAAAGAAAATCAAAGGGTTCAAATTGTTTAACCTATTTTCATTAGGTGATATAGCTACAAGATGGAAAGCATCCCATTTCAATTAAAAAGCACCCATAAAACCATCACTACTGAGAGTGATGTTAAATTTTGCTCGATTATTTAATAACCACGGTTCATCAACCCTTAATCGCCCTGTATATTATTCAGACGCCAGTTGGACACTCACACAAGCGCGACCCCCCAGTGGCCGAAGTTAATTTCCAACCACTCGGATCTACCCCACCGACTGCAAAGGTTACAAATGCGAAACATCCCCTATTTGCTCGGCTGCGGCAGTGCGTCTTACCGAGAATGGGGTGCCCCCTTGGGGTGGCCTGTCCTCCCATCGTCAGAACGTGCGAATGGTCCGAGGTTACGATGATTAGGGTCTCCGTGGGATTCACGAGGGCCAGAGCGGCCAGGAGGGCCGTCTCCATGGCCAGCGTCTCGTCCAGAGCCCGGTAGGCGTTGTTGTAGTGGTGAGCGTGGTCGATCCTCCCGCCTGAAACAAAGACGGCAATTAGGACGAGTGGCGGTCGCTGATATTAATTAAGGAATGGTCGGACGATACGCCCTGTTATCGCTGCTTCATCTGTGTGCCCAGATTTGATAAAGAGAAATACTCCAGTTGAATTAGATCATAAAACCTAAAAAATTAAAAAAATTGTTAGTAGACATTTTATTGCACTTCATGACGAGGAAGGGTATGTAGAATCATAACATCAAAAAAGTAACTTGAAAGAAGTGACGCTAAGTTGTGCAAATAAGTGGCAAAACGTGTTTTTTCACTATTTTGACTGCCCATCAAAATCCAGACGACTTATCGGAAAATTAGCCATTTTATGTTGTAGGCAATTAAATTACCTACAATTTAAGGTATCTAAAGTCATATTTCACCAATATCGGTCAATTCAAATACCAACATGTATACCAAAGTCCAATCCGATTGACGTGAAATTATTGCTCTTATTTTGTTAATTAATTTCGTTCGTTTTTTTGCAACTAATTGCTTAATTGGTTGAATGATTTCCGAGCTGGTTGCCACATCGTCGATTTACAACTCTTGACGTTTCGAGAGACCAATCGCTCTCTTCTTCAGAAGTTACTCTGAAACTGGAGATCTACTAATCTTGTCACTATTTATATTTGACGTGGTCACTGATCCACGACGTTCCGGTGGGTGACCTCGTTGTTGATATTCCAGTGGGTTGCTTTCACGAATGACTCCCTTCCATATACCCAGAAGATCCACGCCACCGTCCCTGTTGAAATTGTTCGGATTTTTGTAAATATCCAATGCTTCTCTGTACAGTCGGGGTCAAAATCTTCTCTCTGTCATCACCATGTTGGCTTCACTCAGATCCACTGTGTGTCCCGCATCTGCCCTATGCTCTGCTACTGCCGATTTTTCCCAATTGTTATTTCTGAGGTGACTTTTGTGTTCCTTTAACCTCGTGTTGATGTGTCTTCCTGTGTGTCCTATGTAGAGCTTTCCGCAAGAACAAGGAATACTGTACATACCGAGGCCTGGAGCTGATCGTTGTTGCAGGTCTTTGGAAACGCTGCCGACACCTTCTTTACAGTGCTGAATACTGTGTTGGTATTCCTCTTCTTCAAAAGACGCCCAATTTTATCTGTACAACCTTTCACGTAAGGTCGTCCCTAAGTACTCCTGTTTCTCCATGGGCGTATGTCCCCTCCTGATAGGTCGTTCGATATTTCTCGCCGTGTAGCCATTCCCTCTCAGGGCCGTGAGTAGGTGCTCTAGTTCATCGGCAAAGTGTCTTGGCTCGCTGATGATCCGCGCTCGGTGATGAATTATTATCGAACGACCTATAAGGAGGAGACATACGCCCATGGATAAACAGGAGTACTTAGCGACGACGTATTTACCTTATGTCAAAGGTTGTACAGATAGAATCGGGCGTCTTTTGCAGAAGAGGAATATCAACACAGTTTTCAGCCTTGTAAAGAAGGTGGCGGCAGCGTTTCCAAAGACCTGCAACAACGGCCAGATCCAGGGCCGCGGTTTGTACAGTATTTCTTGCTCTTGCGGAAAGGTCTACATAGGACAAACAGGAAGACACATCAACACGACGTTAAAGTAACACAAAAGTCACCTCAAAAATAACAACTGGGAAAAATCTGCAGTATCAGAGCATAGGTCAGACACGGGACACACAGTAGATCTGAGTGAAGCCAACATGGTGGTGAGAGAGAGAAGATTTTGACCCCGACTATACAGAGAAGCATTGGAAATTTACAAAAATCCGAACAATTTCAACAGGGACGGTGGCGTGGATCTTCCAGGTAAAACAATGTGTGATAGTCCAAACTACTATACGCGCAAGTTTCTGTGGTCGCTAAATCCAAATCCGGTATCTGTTTGACGAAGTCAGCTCGAGTTTAAGGTTATTAGAAGGTCAACTCTTGTTTTTTGTTGGTAATGCAATGTTTGTGCCTGGATTTTAAGGTCATATTCAAGGTTAGGTTAGGTTAGGTTATATTCAAGGTTATTTGAAGGTCAACTATTGGTTTTTTCATGGTAATATAATGTTTAACTCTGGACACTAAAAGGGCGAGAAATTTTACGTTCGGATAAGCGAATGATTTACCTTTGAAGGTCATATGTAATGTTATTTGAAAGTTAACTCTTGTTTTTTGATGGTAATACATTTTTTGACACTGAAAGGACGATAAATATTATGTTTAGCGACGCGGTTGAATTATTTTTTCATTTTCAAAATTATCTCAAGGTCAAATACCCCTCTCGAACCTCTCGGATTGTCATCTCGTCAGGATAGAGAGATATTGATAATACGACATCTATATGGAGTTATTTATGTCCTTAGCATAATTATTGGTTTCACATTGAGGATATTTCTCACTACTACCTCAGAATATGCTGAAGATGGTGACACTGTCTCAAAAGACTATGTAATACATCCTATGGTATTCATAGTTTTCAAAGTCAAATCCAAGGTCACCAGATAGTGGTTTCCAATGACCCAAACACCTTGTAAGTAGGTATTTTTCAGATATTTATTTCAGTTAACCTCCGAATAACCTTGAGCATGAACTATAACTGCGTCATGCGGACATCTTATGAGTATAGTGGTTTAGTCTATCAAACATCAAATTTCTTTTACCGTAGGGCTGCTGACTACTGACAGACAAGGGTGGCCATGTGGCTCTCAAGTGTTGCGCCTATCGGGCGCCAAGCTAGCATGATAGCAGGGAAAAAATGAATATTTGATAATTGCGCACGAACCACGTTCAGAAAAAAGTTGAGATTTCAAGATAATGAAAAATTGTCTATTGTTATAGACTGTTAGCTGGGATTTTAGGCAGATTTTCAAAGCTACATAAAATATGTTAATATGAGGCTGACCAATCTCACGAGAGGAAGGTATAATAATAGGGATAAATGTAAATTCAGGTCGTTAGGTAAATTATTAACATGATATAGTAAAATTTTTCCTAAAGCGTATCCGAGATTCAGAGAGGAATCAAACCGACAAGGTCTGAATAGCAAATCAGGCGAGGGAAAAACTTCGGAACCCACCATGGGCGGGGTCGGAGCCAGGTATCGAAATCTCCGGAAAAAACAGTTCCCCTTTGGGTTCCACACTGGGCAGTCTACTTAACTTTAGATTTTCCGGGTTAATTTAGTAGTGGGTAATACCTTGTCTCCAAAATTTGCTATGTATCCGTAACGCCCTGAATCTCGAATTGCGTATCGTGTGTAAATTAATCATTAATAATGCTGTTTGAATCCGTTATGTTCCCGTTATGTTTGTTTGTTTTGTTCTTATTGTTATTAAAAAAAACCTTTGTTGAAATTCCCATTTGAGTGAGCGTACATTTCTAAGTTCCTATGTATCAGAATTGAAGTGTAAATGTCAATTAATGAGCTTCCTTTCGCAAATTGACACAGATAGATCACTATCACTACATATTATAAAACAAAGTCCTCCGCCGCGTCTGTCTGTCTGTCTGCTCGCGATAAACTAAAAAACTACTGCACCGATTTTCGAGGAAGGTTTTAGTATATAATTTGTTAAGTTTTTGTATACATTAACGATATTTATTGGAGATGTCGGAAAAAAATAAGCCGTCTGGGAGCTTTCAACGAAAACGCTGCCTAAACCCTTTGAGATATAACAAAATAATGTATGGTGGAATTGTGTATCTTATATAGGTCTACAGAAAAGTCCGCTATGGCATATGTCTATCTCTTAAGGATAACAGACTATAGCCATTTTAATACTTTAAAAAATGGGCAATTATAAAGCGGTAATTGGAAAGCTATTTACACAAATACGGTCCTTATCATTTTAAATACGTTAGTTGGCTTGAGCATTTCATGAAGATTATTTTTTCCCTTTATACCATGCAAATTAAATGAATACCTTAGGAGATATAGCAAAATCAAAATAATGCGCAACGAAATTAATTTCGTGTCGCCTTGATTCGACCGGACCGCGCGGGCGCCCCGTGACCCCGCGCCTCGCGTCCGAGCCGTGAGGGTGGTCCGAAAGTTTATGTAGTGTATGAATGTATGGTGGAATTGTGTATCTTATATATGCCTACAGAAAAGTCCGCGATGGCATATGTCTATATGTTAAAGATATACTACTAGATAGATACTACCTATATCCATTTTAATACTTTAAAAAATTGGCAATTATCAAGCGGTAATGTAAAAGCTATTTACACAAATACGGTATTAATCCTTATCATTTTAAATAAGTTAGAGGCTTTAAGCATTTCATGCACATTATTTTACTCTATTACACCATATAATTTAAATGAATATCTTAGGAGTAATCGCAAAAAAAATATGGACGTGAGAATAAAATTCAAGCGCCTCGCTCTTGCCTAGTGTTTAGCTAATAAGCCGAACGATAATGCGCGCGTGATCCTTTAATAAACTGACTTGGAGCGAATGGAGGTGACGACTGACGACTGTGTTTTCTTTCTGGGTGTTGTTGGAATGTTATAATTGCGTTCGATATTTTAAGATCACATTTTTGTTTTGTATTTGTTGTCTTTAGGTAGTCGGAACATACATAGATACTTGCAAACATACTTTTATTTCATTGAGTTTTAATAATTTGTTTGTTTTTTTTCTCATTGTGAATCATTTAAAACTTCATAGTCGCATTTTTGTTTCGTGTTTGTTTTCTTTAGGTAGTTAGATACCTAACTACTTACTTATTAATTAAAATTGATAGTCCTGAACATAGGTACTTTAATTTAATTCGTTTTGTTTTCACATTGTTGGTAGTTACCTATATTGTTTTAAATTTAAAGGTTTTGCATTTTTAGTTTTGAGTTCGTTTGTTGTCTTTAGGTATATAGATATATCGTGAATTATTTTAAAATTAATATTAGGGTCGCATTAGATGAAAGATGATTTATTATTTGTTTGTTACGATTTAACTCAAAAACTACTCAACCAATTTTACCGAAAGCTACATCTCGGAGTAACATAGGCTA